AATAATTTTATTAGGAAGAGAAATACCCTTTGCTATTTATCAAGAAAGGATATCGAAACAGTAATATGGTGTAGTTAATATTCATTTTCAGAATGTGTACAACTGATCCTCTTAAACTTGATAAGAAAAATTTAACACGACTGATTCAAGAAAAACACAAATCAATATCGTATGGAAAACCAAAAGAAACAGCAAAAATGTCGAAATGCTGGAATCATTTTAATCAAATTTATGTTGATAGTGTCAAACAGGATTTTGTAGTTTGTGACGGTTGTAAATCGATACTGGTTTATAAATCAACAACAGGATCAGGTTGTATGTTAAGTCATTTACAGTCTTGCCAGGTCAAAGAACAAAATCCCAATTCAACAAGTTATCAACAGAAAATGAATTATTATTATAGTTTATCTTCAAATGAAAAGAAATCTGTACCAAAGCGTGTGAAGGATGCTGTAACATCTGCTTGTGTTGATTTCGTGATTCAAGATGGATGGTCAACCATTTCATTTATTAGAAGGAGAGGGTTTTATCTCACTAGCTAAGCAATTGTTCAACACTGGTCAACATCTATCTTCAGCAAACATTCAAATTAAAGATTTATTGCCTAGTTCAACTACAGTGAGTAGTTTATGATGCATACAACACTATAAATAATTTTTTTAATATTAGATCAGTAGAAATATCGATACACTCTACATTTACTACGAAGATAAACTGATCAATATTCTAGAATCAATGGACAGTTTTTGTGTAATTGTTGACTTCTGATCAGAGTCTTATACAGGTAATTCAGAGAATTTATGATCGAAAATCTTTTACTTTGTCGTTTTCATGAAGGTTTATCATACTGTGGGATATCAATAAGTCACGTGGACGTTAAGTTTCAATCGCGAGTATTTTTAATTGGTTGTTATCCATATGAATTTGAAAATAAACATGCACCAACTGTTCGATTATTTATTGATAATATTCTCAGTGATTTTGGTTTGAAACTCGATCCCGAAAAATTCATCATGACTGATAATGAACCAACTATGAAATGTGTATTTAATTCTAATTGCAAAAGAGTAGGATGTAGTGATCATTACCTGAACAAGCAATTACAGCATACTTTTACATAAAAGGTCATCGATGGAGAGAAAGTGAATTGTGAATCAGTTCAAAACATGTTTGAAGATGCTAAACAAATTGTTACAAATGTCCGTCGAATGCACAAACAGCAACATTTGTCCAAAAAGTTAATTACATATTCAGAGACACGTTTTGGTGGTGCATATGATACGCTAGTTGTGTTCTCCAATGTCTTCGACGAATTAGCCGAAGTTTTGGATACGAGATTATTATCAATTCATTCAAAAATTGACAAAGATTTATTGTATGATGTTTGTGAATTTTTATTTCCATTCGTTTCAGTACTTGATATTCTGAGTGATAGTAAACGACCAACGCTTCATCGTGTATTACCATTAAAACAATCCTTAATCAACAAATGCACTGTTAATGATGCCGACAAAGAAGGATTAAAAGAGGTGAAATATTTCTTGGGTACGTAACGCCAAAAATATTCTACTTGAATTTGGTATATTTCTTTCATCTTCTAGCTAAAAGATTGAAGGAAAAATGGCAAATATCAGATGAACATTTGATTGCCACATTGATTCATCCCAACTTGAAACATTTTCACATGTGTCCTCAATTTCGAGAACGTGCAATAGATTTGCTGAAAAAGGAGATGGTAAAGCGTCAAAACGCTTCGTCTACTGATACATCATATACTGCAAATTCTCCAACATTAATCTCGTCATCATCAGCTTTAGCACCAGCATCAACTAGTAATTGTTCATCTGCACGAAAAAATCTGTTACTCGAAATATTCGACAAACAACCTGTCTTACCAGAAAAAAGTCCTGCTGAAGAAGAGTTACAGAAGTATTTAACATCTACATACGTTATAGAAAATGAAGAAGATGATGACATACTCTCGTTTTGGAATGAACACCAGAGATTCTTTCCATTAACTGCTTTAATCGTTAGACGTGTATTATCTATTCCCGCTTCTAATACATTTATCGAGCGTTTATTTTCATCGTGTAA